AACGCGGGGGTGCTTGCGCCAGCCCGCAGTCACTCGGCGTGTCGCATCGTCGCCGCCACTTCGTTCGTCGCGCGTCGCGTCATGTCGTTTCACGTCGTTTCACGTCTTCGTGTCGTTTCACGTCGTTCACGTCGTTTCACGTCGTTCACGTCGTTTCGCGTCTTCGCGTCGTTTTACGTCGTTTCACGTCGTTTCACGTCGTTCACGTCGTTTCACGTCGTTTCGCGTCTTCACGTCGTTTCGCGTCGTTCACGTCGTTTCACGTCGTTTCACGTCGTTTCACGTCTTCGCGTCGTTTCACGTCTTCGCGTCGTTTCACGTCGTTTCGCGTCGTTTCGCGTCGTTTCGCGTCTTCGCGTCGTTTCACGTCTTCGCGTCGTTTCGCGTCGTTCACGTCGTTTCACGTCGTTTCACGTCGTTTCACGTCGTCGGTTCACGTCGTTTCGCGTCGTTTCACGTCGTTTCGCGTCTTCGCGTCGTTTCGCGTCTTCGCGTCGTTTCGCGTCTTCGCGTCGTTTCGCGTCGTTTCACGTCGTTTCACGTCTTCGCGATGTTTCACGTCGTTTCGCGTCGTTCACGTCGTTTCACGTCGTTTCACGTCGTTCACGTCGTTTCGCGTCTTCGCGTCGTTTCGCGTCGTTTCGCGTCGTTTCGCGTCTTCGCGTCGTTTCGCGTCTTCGCGTCGGTTCGCGTCGTTTCGCGTCGCGGCGTGTCCCGCTGCCCTTAAGTTCCCCCCCACGCCCCGCCCCCGTCGCGCGCGGGTCGTTCATGCGTTCCGTCGACTGCGCGTGAGCCCACCTGCGCGACGCCGTCGCCATCGCGGGCTTCAGCGCGAATTATGTCGCGCAGAAGTTTTCGCTGACGATCGACTTGCCAACGCCGCGCCCCATCGTAACCGTCGGTCGTTTCATACTCAATCGGATCGCAATGCATGGGCGCATCATGGCGCCGTTAACCCTTCGTGCGCACCCACCGCGTAATAGCAGCCCCCCATGCTCGAAACGCATTCGGATGTTGGCATTTCCGTATTTCCCCGACCACCCAATCCTCCTCGCCACGCGTTCACTCCTTCACACCGATGCCCCCATCGATGGTGCCCAGGCCCTCCAGCAATTTCGGCCCCCCACGCGCGTCGCGGCCCCGAAGGGGACTCCACCTGCAAACCTATTTCGGCGCACCCCTCGCACGTGTCGTGGCCCCTTCGGGAGCTCCACCAAACACCTCGGGTTCGCGGTAACGGCCCCGCACCCAGTATATATACACGTACTTATGAATACAGGTCGGCGCGCCCCCTGTCGTTTCGTGGCCCCGTAGGAAAGCTCCTACTTCCTGCCTGCACTGCGGTATTCACGCTATATTTGACGGGGCCCATGAACAATTCTGTTGGCGTGCATGTGCATGTAGTTACGTGTGCTACACGTATATTGCACACTCTACAAACCAAATATTATTAGATAAATGCATCTGCATATATATATATATGTATATAATGTATATGTATATGTATACGTGCAAGCCACCCTTCAGCTAGGGGGCGTGCGATTCTGCTGGGGGGAGACCCGAGCTCGAGCGAGAGGCCATCCAACGCCCGCGGACTCCGGCTCTGGGCGGACTGACGGCACCCCCTGATCCACCCTTTAATAACGGCACCCATCCACCCGTTTTTTACATACATATATAAACAATGTGTGTATATATATATAATGTGTGTGCGTGTGTGAATGCACGGGGAGGTGATGGCCCCGAAGAAGCAGAAGAAGAACGGACAGGCCACCATGTTGCCCAATCCCCCATCCCTTCCCGCCCTCGCCATTTCCCCTCCTCACCCCGTTCCCCTCCTCACCCCCCACCCCCCGACGTTCTCTCTTTGCCTCTCCGCATTCCTGCCGCCGAACTGCGGAGCCAGGGAAAGCGCCAGTCGAAGACTGAGCGCGCGGAGAAACGCATGGAGAACAAAGAGCACGAGAACGCGCTGGCTCGCATGCGGTACTCTTGCCAGGGGATGCTGGCGGTTTGCAAGCATGTTGTATATACATATACACATATATATATATGAATATATATATATATATATGTATGTATGTATGTATGTATATTACTGTTCTAGCTATACACGTGTACGCACATGCTCTTGCGGGTGATGTCTACCACGCCTCTGGCGCAGCGGGAGGTCGGGGAGGTACCACATTTCGCTCAAGAGGCCCGACCTGAAGAAAATCGTGGCCGACGCTTTGCCCGCCACGAAGCGCAAGTGGGTCAAGATGTGGCTGAAGACAGGCCATGTGTATATATATATGTATATATAATATAGGTATGTATGTCTACACACCGCTTTAGCAATTTTCGTGTGCATATGTATTTATATATGTGTATGTACATGTGCCCGCCAGTGCTACCGTAAACATCACACTGGTATGACAACAACACGCCAAATATATGGGACAATACAGTATTGCAATTTGGTAGCTCAGCAATCTCATTATATGGGATAACGTCGGCTTGTATTCTGGTGGCATCGCAACAATCCCACTATATGGGATACCGCGTGTCTGCAGTTGCCGAAGCATACACACATACATACACATAGCTGTGCATGCCTATATACAAGCATACATTTATACATATGAACATGCTTGTACACGTGCATGCGTACAGTTAGTTACACACGTGAGTCTGAACATAGATGTACAACACGCGTTGGAAACACACGGACTACAGCACTGCATCCGCCCTCGGCCTTCGTCGCCAAGTCGTGGCTCATGTAGAACGTGTATGTGCCATGCAGAGGCGTGCGTACTTTACATATGCATACGTGTGTTTATGCATTCATTTCTACATGTGCATGAACATACCAGCATGCACGTATGTGTATAGAAATATATATGTATCTACACACGCATTGGGACGCATCACCTCCCCCAGACCAGGAAAGTTCGAGCACATCGAATCCACGAAGATCGAGGAGTCCAGCAACATCAACGAGGGCGGCCTCTACAGCGGGTACGTGACCCACGATGAGATGTTACTCTCGTTTGGCTATTCGCAAGCTCATCCAGACAGCCCGATGTCGCAGAGGCCAGATTTCAGAATTATGGGGAGGACGAGGAAGGAAGCACGGGTGGAAGGATGGAGTACAAGGGACGAAGGAAGAGGGAGGGGACGGGGGAAGGCAGAAGAAAGACAGAGAGAGAGAGAGAGAGAATACGAGGGATAGGGGATAGAGTGAGACGACAGCGCATGCTGCGAGGGCGGTGATGAGGGCCGAGAACACGGTCAAGTGGTGCGAGAAACACAAAGCTACCAAGGCGGGCTGGGACGGTGCCATGTGCTTCACGCCCGCTGGGGACTCCACAATCGATGGAGCGCGAGAGAACCTAGATCAGATGCGGGATTGAGTATGGCCAGGGAGGGAAGGGACGAGGGGTGATGCTACGAGTCGGAGGGGGTGAACAGGAGTGAGGGGACGGCAACGCAAGGCGGGAGGAGGGGAAGGAAGGATCGATGATGACAGCGTGCGGGGCAGGGGAGATTCACCACCAGCATGGTGACATCTTGTACCAGAAGGATGCCATCAACAAGAGCGAGGTGCAGGAGCTTTTGCCCCTCGTTATTTCCGTGCACATATACATACACATGTGCAAGCATCCACATAAACGCACGCACACGCGCACACGCACACACACACATACGCACGCCTACAACATCCACACCTAACAACATACACACCACAAAACACAATGCACACACGAAGCTCACAAACACCTGACCACATACACAACGAAATGTGCGCGCGTGTCCGCCCACACATGCACGCGCGCATGTACGTGCTGGGGTGTCTAGCATCTAACACGCCCCATTCTCGCTCTTCCCTCACCGTTGATATCAACGATCTTCAGCGCGACGCGAAGACGCTGCGCACCGAGCTGAGCACGGGCAAAGAGAAGGTGGACCCGAACGCCGCGTCTGGGTCTGCAGGGCCTCAGGTGAAGGCCCCAAGGGGGGGGGGGACGGCAGAGCCAGCATCGATTCTGAAAGTGTCGGCTGTCGGATGGGGCGACGGTGGACGCGACTGCGAACTGACGACGGCGATGACGAAGATGACGACGAAAGGGTTTGCAAAATCGAACACGAAATGACCGCGACAATGAAGACGACGACGACGACGACGACGACGACGACGACGACGACGACGACTGCGACGACGGCGATAACGACGACAATATCAACGACGCTGAAGACGGCGACGACGACGGCGGCGACGACGACGGAGGCAGGAGGGTGAGGAACACCTCTCATCTTGGATTTTGCAGGCATGGAAGGCTGTTACTTCTCATATTGGGTTTTGCAGGGCGAGGAACACATCTCATATTGGACGGCGATGGCCACGAGGACGATGAAGGCGAAGATGGCGAGGATGTCGATGATGAGTTGGGCAGGCGGAGTCGAGCAACTACTCCGACTCGTCGTCGTGCTCCTACAGTGAGGACATGTCCTCCGATTGCTATTCCTGGCGTGGGGTGAGGCTTCGTTGTGTGTGCCCTCGTCCATCCCATAGTATTGCATCTCCCTTGCACATTCAGACGTTGTTCAGTGTCTGCGTTTGGGGATCTCGCTCGTGCCGTCAGCAAACGACCTAGCGCTTTATTATATCCAGGGTTCCAGAAGAAAGCGTGGATCATGCACGCATCACATACAGAGTTGCAGCACGAAGATAACGCATCACAGCAAAAACACACACAAACAAATAAACACATATAAGCTCCCTCGCGTGCGCACAAGGTTTCACGCATTGGGGTCTATGCACATATAAGGGGCACACACACATGTGCACATCGGGCTCCACGCACGCACAAACACACAAGCACATACAAGTATGCACACACCACACACACACACCTAGGGTAACCCTCATCGGGTTCCATCGGCATGGGGCTCTGTACTTGTTGTTCAAGAGCCTAATGCTCCCCTCGTGACTTCTGTTGGATACGCGTGGCAGCGAGGACGAATCAGAGTCTGTCAAGGACGAGAGCTTGCCAACCTCGTCTGCCGCCACCAAGCTGGGTGAGGCAGCGCACTTGCTGGCCATCCTGTCTGGCTGGAAGGTTTCGGGGCGTCCGGCACTGCGACGAGGGAGAGGAGGGGGGAGGGAGGAGTGGAGGGAGAGGGAGGCAGGAGGCAGGAGGTGCAAATTCACGCGCGGGATTGCAATGAAACGCAGGCGTGTCAATATAGACACACAAGCGTGCCCATCCTAGTCCATTGTCTTTGTATTATATGTTAGTGAAAGGTTTCATTGGCTGGTTGCCATTACACTTTGATTGCGCATGCCGATCGTCGGGTGCAGCTGTCTTGCATTGCACCTGTCGTCTGATGCCTCTGGGGCCGCGAACGGGGATGGAGGTGAAAGATATGCCGTGGCTGTCGCCATGGGAGTCGAAGCTGAAGCAGGCGATCGCGGATTTGACCAAGGTGAACAAGGACTTGACGTCCATCGTCCAGGGCTGCAAGTCACGACTTTCTTTTCCACTGCCGCCAAGACGGCATGCAGTGAGCAGAACGACGGAGAGGGAGAGAAAGAGAGAGAGAGAGAGAGAGAGAGAGAGAGAAAAAAAAAAAAAGAGAGACGGGTTGGACATGTACAGTGCCAGACATGTTCAGCATTGTTTTTCTCCCGTCACGGCGGGAGGGGCAAACATTTACTTTAAGATTGTGCCGCCGACTTGATGTCTCAGTGATCGGTGTCTTTCTCCTTCTCCCTCTCCCTCCATCTCTCTCCCCACATCTCTCTCTTTCTCTCTGTCTCTGTTCCCTCCGCATGCCGCGTGTTCTGCAATAGTTCGGAGGTCTGGCAGCAGCTTCGAGGACTGCTGCGCTACGATCGAGAAGGCGCAGGCCCTTTACTCTAACATATTGCCCATCCAGCTGAGCGTGGAGGAGGCGAAGAAGAACATGAAGAAGTAGTATTATTTCGGGCAGGGTAGGATTTGCTGCACCACGCACGATCGGATCTTGTTTGCTACCACTTCCCATGAGCATCCGTGATATCCCCGTTCTGCTCTTATTCATCCCTTCTCGGAGTTATTCTCTTCTGGATTGCGCGGTGCAGCAGCGCATCGCTCGAAGTATCGCTTGGGTTTTTTTGGGGGGCTGCTCACTGCAAGCGACAGTGATCAGAAGCTAGCCCTTCCACGTGGACCGCGTGTGCGGTCCTAGGGCACCGTTGCCGCAGACGTTCGAGTGCGAGGCTGGTGAAACACGGTGCGCTCGGGTGCAAATCGCCAGTGCGAAGCTGCAGGGATGTCGTGGAACTCGTGTCCAGGCTGCACGCTCGTATATGCACGTGTGTCCCGCTGCGCACCATCAGTAAGCATAACATCGGATGCCGAGCATGTTGAGCAACGGATTGTAACGCATCGTGTTAGAGTGTTGCACTGCATTCAATTGTTATCATGTGGTGCCATGGTCACGAGCCCTTGCAATGTTAGCTTCAGTGCTTCGCTTGGTATGCCACTCGATGCTCCCAGGGATGTCTCCTGTGTGATCGTTCGTTTCTCGAGGCGCCGCCCTGACGTAGCCTCGGCTCAAGGCCGCCAGAAACATCTCCCCCCCCCCCCCCCCCCCCCCTCCCCCCCCCCCCCCCCCCCCCCCCCCCCCCACCCCCCCCCCAGTTTCACCCCCGACAGTGCGTTCTTGCATCGTACCCCGATGGCGCCCAGAGAAGCTGCTGCAGAATTACTTGCGGGTGGAATCGAGTCGGGGCTCGGATCTAGCGAGGTGGCTGCATCCTTCCATGCGGGGGGCTCGTCGTGCTCTTCCTCTGCGTTCCCGCGTCAACGGCCGTATGTGGGTGCCGCTCAGCAGAATGATGGTGGCGCTGGGCTTCGATCGTTTCTTTTGTGCAGGTACAAACAGGGTAGGTTGTCTGCAAAGGATGTCTGCGTGACGGCGTGGCATGCGACCCGCGGTGGGTCGCAAGGCGTATCTGATTTAGCTTTGCCTGAGGAGCGCACGCATCGCACGGAGCACTTGCGCGATGCCATAGGAGCACGGGCCAAGGATACGTTTTTCACCGCCAGGGTGCCGATGTGGAATTCTACAACAGAGGAGCGCGAATATCGAGATTTTCCTTTGAATTTACCTCACGATGAGTTCGCAGCTCAAGTACGCCTGAACCCTCAAGAGTTTGACGTGTCAACGGTACCTGTAGAGAACCTTCCGCTAAATTATGCTTCGCACCCTGCCACAACAAGGGCAGGGACTAAGTCTGTGCCACTCGGGTATTTCTCCGACGCAGTGCCCCATACCAAGACTGACGGCTTTTTCGCACACTACTGGAGCAACACGCTCACAGGGCGTCGGTACCTCATCGCGTCCCTGCGGAAATCGGACCTGTGCAAGTGCGGGTGCCGAGGGCTCTGCACATTGATGACTGTCGCTCGGATTATTTGTTGGAGCTTCAACGCTTTAGCGAAAGGTAGGTACCCCTCGGCAGATCACAATGGTGAGCCGCTCGTGAATGAGCTTCGCTTCAACTCACGGGATTTTCCTTTGACGGATTCTGGACACTGCGGTGCGCTCTGTGAATACAGGGCGGACCTCTTGGAGATGATAGACTCATTGGGCTTTACCCGATGGAATAGCGTCCTGCACCCATGCTTCTGCTGCACGGTCAAGCGAAACAGCCTCTTCGACTTCCCTTTGCAAATGAACCAGTGCAAGTGGAAAACACGCGACTCGTCTCTCTACAACAAGGCTCTTTTGAAGTCACTGACACAGCGTACTATTGATGACCCAGACCAATTGCGTCGACTTTTGGCGTCCATGGCTTTTGATGACGACTACTTTGGATTCGCTCTTTTTGAAGATTTTCCTGAGCTATCGCTGTTCAGGGGGCACAGGTTAATCGAGGACGCCACACCCCCAGATGGTATCAATAGGGTCCGAGATATCGCTCGGGTCAGTGAGATCGAGTTGCCAGCAATTTTTATGTTTTGGGATCCGCAAGCTGCGCATGGCCTCAATTTCTTGACACCGCTTTTTAGCGTGGAGGGATTTTCGATAGAGGGCCTGCACCTGGACGCCATGCATGTCATCGACCTCGGGGTCACACAATACGTCGCGGGCCTCATTCTATTCACGCTGGTGGAGAACAACTTCGTTGGCTCCCAGCGACGGAAGGCGGAATTGAGGCGCGTTGATAACATGAACCACTTGAGACGGAGGCTGAGCGCTTTTTATAAAGGCCGCAAGTTTGATCCCAAGAGCGTGTCCCGCATCCAGAAGCTGACGTACAGCATGTTAACACCAGCGGGCCCACCCCGCCTGAAGGCGAAAGCGGCGCAGACGAGGAACTTACTACCACTATTGGGCCAACTGTGTCGTGAGAACCAACGCCACTTGGGAGACAATGCACATGTCATTACACTCGCCGTGCAAGAACTTCAGAAAGTGCATGACATCATGGACAGAGAGCCGCGGCGTATGAGCCCTGACGCAGTCCGACAATACCAGCAGTCCACACTTCGGTTCTTACACTTCTGGCAAAGTGCAGGGGGGCATCAAGTGTTCAAGTTTCACATGCTCTTCGAGATGGCCAAACAGACCCCTTCCAAGGGGAACCCGAGATGGTACTGGACGTACGCGGACGAGCAGGAGAACAGATTGCAGGGAAATGTCGCCAAAAGCTTACATCATGGAGATACATTCTACTCGTCCTTCCTGTCCAAGGTGTTACCAGAAGCTTGTTAGACTTGTATGACGGCGCCTGAACTGCCCTAGTTTCACTATGTCTTTACTTCTAGATCAGTGGTGTTTCACCTAAAGGCTCAAGCTGTATCCTTGCCCGTGCTCCAATGGCATCGCACATGCTGTAGGTACTCATAGCGGGTGGGAGTAAACAAAAAAAGATGGAGGAATAGGAGGAGGAGGAAGCGGAGGAGGAGGAGGAGGAGGAGGAGGAGGAGGAGGGGCAGGATGAGAAGGAGAGGAGGAGGAGGAGGAGAAGGAGGGGGAGGAGGAGGAGGAGGGGCAGGAGAGAGAAGAGACGGAAGCTATGCAGTACACGGCGAAAGGCCGACGCGAGCAGGGGCCCAGTTGCGCCGCCTTGTTATAGATTACACGTACGCAGTTCGCCGAGAAATGGTGGCGGCCGGAACATTGCTCTATGCTTCTTGTGTTGTTTGCCGCATCGTTCCTTCCTTTTCCTCCTTCCTCCGTCCTCCTCCCCCCTCCTCCTCCCTCCTCCCCTGCTCCTCCCTTCTGATCCATTGTCCTTGGCGCTCTGCTGTCGATCCCTGGTGCTGGGAAGAGACAGGCGGCTCCCAACAGAGCATTTACCTTCATCCTCCCTCCTTCCTCCTCCTCCTCCTCCTCCTCCTCCTCCTCCATTGTCCTTGGCGCTCTGCTGTCGATCTCTGATGCTGGGAAGAGACAGGCGGCGCCCACCAGAGCACTTACCTTCATCCTCCCTCCTTCTCCCTCCTCTTCCTCCTCCTCCTCCTCCTCCTCCTCCTCCTTCTCTTCCTCCTCTTACTCCTCCTCCTCCTCCTCCTCCTCCTCCTCCTCCTCCTCGCCCTCCTCCTCCTATCCTCTTCCTCCTCCTTCCTCCTCCTCCTCCTCCTCCTCCTCCTCCCCTCCTTCTCCTCCTTCCTCCTCCTCTCCTCCTCCTCCTCCTCCTCATCCTCCTCCTCCTCTTATCCTCTTATCCTCTTATCCTCTTCCTCCTCCTCCTCCTCCTCCTTCCTCCTCCTCCTCCTTCCCCCTCTTCCTGCTCCTCCTCCTCCTCCTCCTCCTCGTCCTCCTCCTCTTCGATTGCCCGAGATGATGCGCCTTTACGCTATCGAGTTACATTGGGAAGCCCGTTTTTGGGTGTGGTGCCCCCACCGCGGCCCATGGAAGGCTATACTTGGGGTGGCCAATAAGGCCACCACAGCCGCCGCCGCCACCGCAGCCGCCGCCGAGGACTTAGTGGCCCTTGCGGGGCTCCATGTCCCGATAGACGATAGACCCGATCCCTGAACCGAACGGCGATCGAGCGATCAATCGATCGATCATCAATCGATCGATCGCTCAATCGATCGATGAATCCATCGAGCGACAACGATTACTTAAGGAAGAGACGGGGGTAATGGAGGTTGTTCCCTCCTCCTCCTCATCTTCCCCCTCCCCCTTTCCTCTTTCCTCCTTCTCTTTCCTCCTCCCCTCCCCAGGCCCCTCCTCCCCCTCCAGTTTCCCCTTCCTCCCCCCCCCGTTGTCCTTCTCCCTCCTCTGGGCCCGTTGCCATTTTGGCTCGAGCTATATTTCCTGCCCACTCCGTGCATGGGCAAGTGCATGCATGCATGTGCACATGCATGGGCAGAGCGTGCACCCCTTGTCACATATGCGCGTGCACCGCGGTATAGATCTGTTTCGTGGCCAGCTTGAGACAAGCTCCATGTTGCACCATGACAAGCTTTTGTGCTCCATGGCTTGCACCATGACAAGCTTTTGTGTTT